GAAAATGGTCAGACAGAAGAGGGTTTTGGGGAAAAACTATTAAGTGTTCAGTTTTGATGCCATACGTCAGAACAAGATCAAGAGTGTGATTAAAACAGTGAGTGGGTTTATTTACAGTTTGAGAAAAACCAACTGAGTCTAACAATGAACAGAATGCATTGTTGAGGCTGTCACTGTCAGCATCTACATGGATATTAAAGTTGCCTACTATGATTATTTTATCTGTACTAAACACTAAATCACACAAAGTCTGAGAATCCAGTTAAAAACTCTAAATAAGGAGCAGGTGGATGGTAAACAATAACAAATAGAACTGGCTTTTGAGTTTTCCAGTTTGGGTGTGAGAGATTCAGAGTGAAGCTTTCAAATGAGTTATAACTATGTTTAGGTCTAGGGTTGATTAATAGGCTGGAGTCAAAGATCGCTGCCACACCTCCACCTCGGCAAAGAGACAGCAGAGAGGCATGTAAGACTGTGACCCTGTGTCCTGGACTCAACTCTGGGTTGTCATAATTCAGGTTGTAAAATAAACTCTTCCAGATTTCTAGATAAGAGAGCCACACCACCCAAAGTGGGATGGATGCCGTCTCTGCTAATCAGACCAGGTTTTCCCCAAAATGTTTTCCAGTTATCTATGAAGCCCACGTTATTTTCTGGGCACCACCTGGACAACCAGCCGTTGAATGACGACATGCGGCTAAACATGTCATCACTGGTCAGACTGGGTAGGGGTCCAGAGAAAACTACGGAGTCCCTCATTGTTTTAGCGAAGTTACACACCGACTCAACATTCATTTTTGTGATCTCCGACTGGTGAAGTCGGGAGTCATTAGCGCCGACGTGAATAACAACCTTACTGTATTTAAGCTTATCCTTAGTCAGCAGCTTCACATAGCATTCAATGTCTCCCGCTCTGGCCCCAGGAAAACATTTGACTATGGCCGCTGGTGTGTCTAACTTCATGTTTCTGACTATGGAGTCTCCAATTACCAGAGTTGTTTTCTCAG